TTGGGTCAGGTACACCTTAGTCCTCAAGCTGACATCTTTGCTCTTCAACACTTTAAAAAGTTCCTGTGCAGCAGATTTGCCTAATGCAATACGTCGTCACGTCGTCTGATTTCTTGACTGCTGCTTCTCCCATGTATATCCACGTAATTCACAATAAAAACTTAAAACAAGAAACACGCTACCACATACCATAGCTGTTGAGGGAATTTCCACTCATGGTGACTCCACTATGTATTAAGAGTAGAAAGTGTTTCCTAAGGTTTACAATGGTTATATTTTCAGAAGTCGACCACTAAGACTTTCCTCTTACTCTGGAAGATCTGCTGAGACCTGTGGAACGCGGGGATCCCGCTGGTATTTGAAGGACGGGGTGACTGGTGCAGCTTCCCGCATCACATCAACACTAACCCGGGGCGCTGCGGTACCTCAGATGGTGGTGTTTTACAGCACCACGTTTAATAAAGTTTTAAGTCAACTTCTGCTGTGATTTCGGCTTCTGCGTTCGCCCCCTAGACGAGGAGCTTGACACACCTAGGAACGAGATCGGTCACGTGGCAGCAGGTCAGTCACGTGCCAGTGGCTGAACTAGGCACAGCAGCAGCCTCACTCCCTTAGCCCGGCCCACATCAGGCCCACCCAATGAAGCTCGTCTACGCCGCGCTCCGTCTGCGCAGGCGCAAGTGCGGCGGCAGACTTGCGTTCTCTTTAGGTTCCCCGCTTTTTCCTTAGATTCGTCACAAGCGACCGCAGTACTCGGCACTAGAGTTTCCAAAAAAAATAGCTGACATCTCTTCTTGTGCCTGGAGAGCTCCTGAAGCTTTACCGTCCCCGCTGAGCTGCGAGCCGAGCGCGGGGCCGGCTCACTGCAGCTGCGGCGAATCGGCGGCGAGGCGGTGGTGACCGCGCGGGGCGGGGCTTAAGCTCGCGCGGCGTTTTCGGAGGCGGACCGGACTGTTGCGTTTGAAACTGGGGACCCGGGACCCCGCACCTCCCCTTGACTCACGTATACTCTTCGGCCGATGGGCGAGGGGTCTCCCTATTCACCCAGTGTGTGAACTGGCCGAGGGCCTCGTCTGGGGACACAGCGTGGAGCGGCTGAGTGAGAGGAGCGGCCCATCATTTCTGCAGCAGAACCGAAGGATCGGAAACGGCTCCCGGCCCAGGGAGGGTTTCCAGCTAGTGGGGACGTTGCTCCAGCCCCGGATGTCGCCCCAACTAGGGACGAGACAGAGACAAACCCCGCTTAACGAACTCAGCCTCGTGGGGACGCGAGATAAACGAGTGTTATCTGCAAAGGTTTGTGCTTTCTGCAAAGCGAGGGAGCTGGGCACCGCCACCCACACATCAGTGCACTGGGCAGGTCCGAGCGCCGTCAGGTCCTCGTTTGCAGGCCTTGGCACTGTTGACATTCGGGGGTCCCATCGTCCTCGGTGGTCCCGGCCGTCCTGTGCACTGTAAGGTGCTTAGTGGCAGCAGCCCAGGCCTTCGCTTGTCAGATATCAGTAGTATATTTCTGCTCCATTTGTGACAACTGAAAACCGTCCAGACGTCCCCAAGTATCCCCTGGGGTGTTCCCTGGAGGGCATGATCCCAAGTATCCCCTGGGGAGAAGGGTGCCATGCTGTCCTCACGCTGTGAAATGGACCCATGGTGGGAATCTGGAAAGACGTTGGATGAGAAGGAGATGGGATAGTTAGAGGAGGATTTTGGAGTGTCAGGAAGAGTGGGGGGGTTCCCTGAGAACTTCACAGGAGAGCCAGAGACTGAAAAAGTGTATCTGTCCCCAAGGATGAGTCCACAGTTGATGCTAACCTTTCTCAGCCCTCACGTGCCCTTTTTCCTGTGACATCTCAGGTCTGACATCAGGATGGATCCAGCACCCTCTGCCGTCCGTCTTGCTGTCCGAGACACCATCCACACACTTGGGTCCTCTCAGGATGGCATCTGCGTCCTCGCTGCCCTGGGGTCCCTGAAGTGCTATCTGGGTGGGCCTGAGGGTGCAGCCCTCCCCAGAGAAAAGGAGGAATTTGCCAGGCTCCATTACACGCCACTCCTCAGATGCCTGGTTGGCAAGCTGAGCCCTGATTGGCTGGAGCTACTACCCTCTGGTCAGCTGGAGGAGCTGTGGGCCAGCTTCTTCCTGGAGGGCCCAGCCGACCAGGCCTTCCTGGTGCTGATGGAGGCCATTGAGGGTGTTGCTGGGTAAGCGTGGTGACCGTGAGGTCTGGGTGTGGGCTCTCTGAGCAGAATTGGGAGCCGCTTGGATTCTGAGCTTCTATGAGAATTCAGTGTTCCAACAGCACTGAGGCTGCGTCTGGACTGGGTCCCCCCACGGTCAGGAAGCTCCCCTCCCCCTCCCACCTCATCATGTCACACGGGAGAGGGAGGGGCACTGAGGTAGTGCAGTTAATGCCAGCAGTATGTCCTTTGTGGCCACTGTTGCCTCCCCAGGTGGCCAGCTAACATTAGCTCTCCTGTGGGTCCCAGGCACACAGGGAGGCACAAAGGCAGTCGATGCTTGTCAGACGCCCTTCCTCTGAGCTTCCAGATCGCTCCCTGTTTGCTCAGACAAGCATCGACTGGCCTCAGGCCTCCGTGTTTGCGTTGTGTCCGTTCCTTGAGGTGATAGCACAGCTGCACGAAGCAATGGTTGCTGCCAGGAAAGGCAGACCTGGGGGAAAAGCAGTTAGTGCCGAGCAGAGCTGGTGATGCCTGCAGTGATCCCAAGGTCGGGGGGGCCGTGGCCTGCCCTGTTAGTGCCTGCGGTGATTTGGGAGTGAAATTAGAACGTTACCCTCCCTGGTGACGTGTCAGGACCTAAATGGTCACAATGTCGCGGGGCCTGTTTGAGTTGCTTTCAGCAGGGGGTGGGTGTTGGGAGCTCTGTCCGGTGACAGTTTGCTTCCTGTTCAGTCCCAGCTACCGTCTGATGAAGCTGGCGCGGCTGCTGGAGCGGTTCCTACGCACAGGCAGGATGGGGGCGCTGATGGGGGCGCAGTGTCGGCAGCAGGCGCAGTCCAGCTCCCCTCTGCTGCAGGAGACATTGCTTAGCAAGGTGGCGTGTCTGCCCGACCACCTGAGCAACCGTCTGCGGCATGAGACCCTGGACCTCTTCCTCCCCCAGGAATACTTCCCCCTGCTCAGTGACGAGCTGCTCCGGGCGTTGCACACCGTGGCCGATGCTCTGCGAGGTGAGTGCCCTTCGACCTATCCCCTTGTGTGGTGACTTGCCCTCTCCTGCTGGCCCTCTCAAGGTCTCCAGGGGTCTCTGGGTTGTGCTGTGGAGCCCCTAGGTGGACCAGGAGGCTACCAGACTCAGCTGTCCACCAAGAGACTGGAGATTGGAGTCAGTGTGTTGGTAGAAAGGCCTGGTAATCTACTTCTGAAAAATCAAACACAGGAAGTACCGTGGTCCTATTGTGACACATGTGGGGTTACCATGAATTACGGGGTTCGTTCTGACACACATGGGGTGACCATGAGTTATGGGGTTTGTTCTGACACACATAAGGTGACCATGAGTTACGGGGTTCGTTCTGACACACGTGGGATGACCATGAGTTACGGGGTTCATTCTGACACACATGTGGGGTGACCATGAGTTACAGGGTTTATTCTGACACACACATGGGGTGACCATGAATTACAGGGTTCGTTCTGACACACATGGGGTGACCATGAGTTACGGGGTTTGTTCTGACACGTGGGATGACCATGAGTTACGGGGTTCGTTCTGACACACACGTGGGGTGACCATGAGTTACAGGGTTCTTTCTGACACACACATGGGGTGACCATGAGTTACAGGGTTCGTTCTGACACACATGGGGTGACCATGAGTTACGGGGTTCGTTCTGACACATGGGATGACCATGAGTTACGGGGTTCGTTCTGACACACACGTGGGGTGAACATGAGTTACGGGTTCGTTCTGACACACATGGGGTGACCATGAGTTATAGGGTTCTTTCTGACACACATGGGGTGCCCATGAGTTACAGGGTTCGTTCTGACACACATGGGGTGACCATGAGTTACGGGGTTCGTTCTGACACACATGGGGTGACCATGAGTTAC